AGGCACCCTACAACGCCCTAAATCGGTACTCTATGATGATATTAGCATAATAATAAATAATATTTTAAATGTCTTATCCCATTTTATTTAATACTGTTTAAATAACAAAAAATGCCTATTATCTACATGATTTTTTATTGGCATATAAGAATTATAAATAAAATAATAAATGAAATAATAAATAAAACAATAGACAAAATAATAATAAAATAAATAAAAACAATAAAGAAGAGAGAAGAATTTAGAACTCCCGAAGCAAACCTTTTATAAGGGAATCTTCCTAAATACGTGCGATGCGCGTTTTGACAATCATTCGCTCTACAAAATCCTCACTATCACTCAGAGATTTATAGAGAGGGGGGAAGCTATGCAACTTTTTCCTTAATTCCTTGACCAGAGGGTTTCTTATATAGCCAACTAGGAGGCAAAAGAATAACAGAGCTATCTGATCTGAGACTAAATTTTATAAAAATATAATCTTTTTCTAAGCACCATACAGGACCTCTAGAGAACTCGCTAACCATCGGATCGTGCTATTTTTTTTATGGTATCCTCAAAATATATTGATTTTCAATTTCAACAGTTGGATCGTTGAAGTTAGGTCTGTAGTGAGAGATACTATCATAACAAAAACGTTGTTTGGTATAAAACTCCTATTTTCCAGCTGCAATGCGAGGGCCCTAGAGAATTCATTAACCATTGGATCATGCTAAAAATTTGATGATATCTTCTTAATGCATTGATCTTTAACTTCAATGGTCGGATCATGAAAATTAGGAATTTATTGAGAGATATTATCAGAACAAAAACGATGCCCAATGCAAAATTTTCTGAAAAGGGGAACGGGTCGTTCCAACATTGGGAACGGCTCGTTCCAACATTGGGAACGGCTCGTTCTAATTTGGGAACGGCCATTCCGCACCCTGGATCAGTTTCTTTGAGTTTTATGGGTCTTCTGGATCCATCTTGGCCCATTTAGGTGCTCTATTGGGTCCTTAGGGGTCGTACATGCTACCTTTTCTAACTACAGTGCGAGGCTTCTAGATAACTCGTTAACCGTTGGATCGTGCTGAAATTTTGATGATATCTTATTAATACAATGATATTTAATTTCAACGGTTGGATCATCAAAATTACATTTGTAACGAGAGATATTATCATAACAAAAATGTTGCCCAATGAGTTGGACCCCTAGGGTTATTTGTCTCGCTCTAGTAGACCTTTGTCCTTGGTTTGGGTAAAGTTGCTTTTTCCAAAGGCAAGTAAAAACGTAGATATTTCGTCCGGGTCTTCTCTTTGCTTCTTTGTCCAAGTGCTTCTACATTACTTCCTTCAAATAGATGGGTTTGCCCTTATCCTTTCTCTTTGGAGTAGCTGAGTGTTGGGTTGCATGCTCCGCTAGGGAATAAGGATGGAAAATTATACACTTGATCTTCTATCTTCGAGTAGATGCTCCATGCCATTTTCTCTAGTTGCTCCTTTTGTTAATGGTGAGGTGAAGATCTAGATCTTCATTCTCGCTTTGATAATAGCTGCCTTCAGGTTGTTTCCCTCGGATAAGGTGTTTACTTGTATCCTTGTCCTAACTGAGTGTTGAATTGCGTGCTCTGTTGGGTGTCAAGGTTGGTAAATTGTACCATCTAGGCTTCATACTCCATGTGAATGTTCTATGTCGCTTATTTTTTTGCTACGGGTATCGTTCTTTTCTTAACTTTTTTTTTTCTTCTTTCTTTTATTTAAGGGTTAAATTTGAGTCACACATGTTCAACCAAGGTGGCACCATCCATGTGACTCAAAATGCAAATTAAATGCATGCTAAATAAAACCTAGTTTTGAATTTTGAATTCAAAACTTAACTCACATGTACAAGTCCGGTTCACATTGATGCTAGGTGTATTTAGGTTTGATTTAGTGTGCATTTAGGGTTGAATTTGAGTCACACATGTTGAAAAAGTTGCATAGCTTCCCCCCTCTCTATAAATCTCTGAGTGATAGTGAGGATTTTGTAGAGCGAATGATTGTCAAAACGCGCATCGCACGTATTTAGGAAGATTCCCTTATAAAAGGTTTGCTTCGGGAGTTCTAAATTCTTCTCTCTTCTTTATTGTTTTTATTTATTTTATTATTATTTTGTCTATTGTTTTATTTATTATTTCATTTATTATTTTATTTATAATTCTTATATGCCAATAAAAAATCATGTAGATAATAGGCATTTTTTGTTATTTAAACAGTATTAAATAAAATGGGATAAGACATTTAAAATATTATTTATTATTATGCTAATATCATCATAGAGTACCGATTTAGGGCGTTGTAGGGTGCCTAACACCT